TCATCTCTCTGTTTATAAATTGAGAGGGTGGGGCCACATGGTGTCTAAGAGAGGGTGTACCTTATGAGGCAGGAGTTTCTCAGCCCTGGTTTTACATCAGAATCATCTGCCGAGAGAGATGCCTGCTGTTTGGCCCCCATCTCTGATGCAGTTGGATGTTTAAGATCTCAGGTGACCGCAGTGCACAGCCAGGGTGGAGAACCGCTGCACTTGCCTGAAAGGGCTTGGGGTTGGACTGATCTGGTGTTGGAGTTCTGGCTTTATCACTTGGAGGTCCCAAGGCATTTATATAATGTCTCTGGGCCTCAGTTGTGCAAATAGGTAAAATAGAAATTATGATATCTACCGCATAGGAGTGAAACAGGAGAATTAGGTATATTGGTAAAGTGACAGCCCAGGGCAGGCCGTCAGTGAGTCTCTACTCCCTTCTGACTTTCTAATAGGCAGGGATGTTCCTGACCTGTTGATGGACACTTGGATGATTTCTGTCTTTTGGCTATTGTGATAATACTGCTATGAACGTGGACATATAAGTATATGTTTGAATCCTGTCACTGCTCTCAATTCTTTTGGGTAAACACCTAGAAGTGGAATTGCTGGAGCAAATGGTAAGTTTATGTTTTACATTTCCTTCCATCCATCAGATCCTCTTTTCCAACCTCAGGGCTTTGCATCTGTGAGTCCCTCTGCCTGATCTTGCCTCCTCTGAACCTTGCTCAGTTGACTTCTCCTTATAAGTGTTAGCCTAAATTCTTGCTGCTTTTGCAAAGCTTTCTCTGGTCTCCCAAACTAAATTATCTACTTTTTAACCTCTCTTTTCTTATTCTGTTTATTGCTCTGCAGCACTTTCCATACTTTGTCATTATATAGCAAGTAACTTACTTTTCAAACTCCCGTTAAACTCCCAGTTCTGAGCTCAGTGGCTGGTACATAATAGTAGCTCTAAGCAACTGTCTCATAAAGTCCTAGCTCTTCTGACACTCATGTTTATGACAAGCCGAGGCTGAATGGGATGCAGAATGATGCTGTAGGTATTATGGGGACGGGGTAACTTGCAAGCTGGTAAGGGCAGAAAGGTAAAACCAGAATTTTGACTTTCAGCTTGTGTTTTGAGCTGGCTAAAAGGACATGATTTATTCAAGTTCCTCCTGCAAGGATGAACTCTGCTTGCAGGGCACAGGCAGTCAGCAGGGGCATTTAGAATGTAGGCTCTTCCTGCCTTGGATTGTATCCTGGCTCTATCACTGTCTAGTTTTCTTCATCTATAAGATGGAAATCATAATGGTACATACCCCTACACTTGTGGTGAGAATTAAATGAGTTACTGTGCTTACAGAGGGCCTGGCACATTGAAAGCTCTCAGTCAATGGTAGCTCTTATTATTTATTAACGTTCACTCTGACGCTCTAGAGATATAGATTGTAAGTGAAGGTTGGAGAGCTCTGCCAAGTGCTTCCTTCTGTCGAGCGCTCAGGGATGGTCTGGGAGGGGGCCATCCATCTCTTTCTCTGATCAGGTCCGGAACTGAGGGAGTTTTACTTTTTGCTTTTTAGCATCTCTCTAGGACTGTTCTCTGTTGTATGGTCAGGAGGGGGTCACGACAATCATTATGAAAACAGTGTACCAAACAGGGAAATCAGGTCAGATAGGAGGTTGTGCCTTCCACACAGAAGCCAAAAGAGCTTTGGTCTCTGCCTCTTCCCATCCCTGGCTGCTAGAGCTTGGGATTGTGATCCAAGTGTGGGCAATGAGATACTTCTGCCTTAGATTGGTAGAATCCCTAACCACCAATCCTGGGTGGTCTTGATAGCTTCAGGCATATGTATAGGGTCAAATAGAGACTCTTCTTGGCCTGTGTCTAAGATTCAAGGGTCCAAGGTGTGACACGTGTCTGGTGGTGGCAAGTATCAAGGGGTGATGGTCCCTGTGGGAGCATCCCAGGCCAATGGTTGGTTTTTGATTGCTTCGTTCTGCTTTGTGATGGGTCTATTTTATTTTAAGAAAATATATATAATAACAAAATCCAATGGGAATTCAGTAATTTTTTTTTAAATAATGGGTTTTGGAGCTATGACTCATATACTGTGCAACTCACCTACTTAATGTATACAAGTCATTTTAGTATATTTGCAGAATTGTGCAACTATCCCTAAAATAAATTTAAAAAACAAAACAAAACTTACTTTTCAAACTCCTGTTAAACTCCCAGTTCTGAGCTCCGTGGGATAAAAAATTTATTTTAGCGATAAAAAGTTTATTTTATCCTTAAAATAAATGTAGGGATAGTTGTACAATAAACCCATTAGCAGTCACTCCCCCTTCCCCTTGCCTCCACCCCCTACCCCATGCAACACCAGCCTGCTTTCTTTCCCTATAGATGGTAAACTATTTTGCAATCAGGATTTAAGATGTACCTTCCTTCCATGAAGGGAAGGTTCCTGCTTATGTCTTATATTAAAGTTATCTATCATTGCATAACAAATTACCCCCAAATCTAGCAGTGTAAAACAAAATATATTTATTTTCTTACAGTGTTTGTGGGGTAGGAATCCAGGTACAGCTTAGCTGGATCCTCTGCCCCAAGATCTCTCATGAGGCTACAGTGTGTTGGTCAGGGCTGCAGTCTTGCCTGAAGGCTCGACTGAGGAAGGATCTCCTTCCAAGCTCACTCACGTAGTTGTTGGTAGGATTTGGTTCCTTGAGGGCTGTTGGACTGGGGACTTCATTTCCTTACTGGCTGTTGGCTGGAGGAACCCTCAATTCTTTGCCACATGGGCCTCCCCAGCATGGAAGCTTACTTTATCAAAGCCAGCTCAAGAGAGAATCTGCTAGCAAAACAGAAGTCACAATCTTTTGTAAACTAATCGTGGAACTGACATTCCCTCAATATTGCTATATTCTTTTGGCTAGAAGCAAGCTACTAATAAGGAAGAGACTACACAAGGCCATGCATGCCAGGAGATGGGGAGCAAGCACATGGACCATCTTACAGGCAGCATAGCCTATCTTGCAGACCATCCCTGAGTTCTCTAGGCTGCTTTGTACATTTTTTAATCCCTGCTTTTGTTTTTTTGCTTGAGCTAACTGGAATTAATGACTCTCGTTTGCATTCAGACTGCCATACTTGTTTGTTGCTTACAGTTCTGTCATCTTGTGATTCTGTTTTCTGTCGATTCAGCACCTTTCTCTGTATGGTATGAGCTGCTTGGTAAAGTATTTGACATTGCCCATTACTCCTTTTATCCCCTCAAAGTCACCAGTTCCGTGTCTGAATATTTCATTACCTCAGAGTTAGCTACTCAGCATCCATCTGAACACTTGTTTGAATATGAGTCTCCACAAAGATCATAGAAGAGAAATTAAAAGCAGAGAATTAGCACTGTCAGAATAGGAAAACTGAATCCTGTTAATGGGACAGCTGATAAGTCTTCACATTCAGCCTAGGGTTTTTGTGGTTTTTCCTCATTTGGGTCATGACCAAAGGGTTGGTTTCCTCCCAAGAGCTTTGGCAGAATTTAAGCATCAGAAATCCAGTACAAGCTAGTTTAAGCAAGGAAACAGAGTTTGTTAGCTCTAGTAACTAGGACATACTGTGGAGGCTCCCAGGATCAAAAGAAGAATGACAGAGCTCCTGGTCAGCAACCAGTGGCTCAAAGCAGGTTTGGCTCTTGTGAGCCTCTTCATTGTCTTCGTGCCTCACTTTCTTGGCCTCAAGATTTGCTATCATATTATCAGGTTTCTTCAGCTGGGTAGTATGTAATCTTTGGTAAATACAGCTTCAGCTTTGAGCCTGAAGAGGGAAAAGGATTGGCTCAGGTGTTTATTCTCATGTCCAGGAAGATGAGGCACTATGTTAGGCCAGGGCCAGGTCACATGGCCAAATTCCAGTTGGAAGACCATGGGAAAGCAGCAGCCACCACTGCACAGTACAGGCACTGCCTTGAGCCACTGTCAGTGCCGTAGGGATGGACAGACAACCATGCAAGTGGTCCCTAAATTACTGGAGATTCCTAAAAGGACAAGGCAGTGTCTGTGATAAAGGCCTGACTGGGAAATGTGGATTAGAGTCATCCTTTTTTAGCCAATGTTTTTCATGGAGTTTTGGAATTAATTTTATTGGACCCAAGATTCAGCCTACTGGCAAAATAGAATCACATTGAATTTTTCCATTCTAGATTTTACTTGTTCCCTAACTACTTGACAGTTGAAAAAAATTGTTAGTAGAGACAAAAAGGTCAGGGATGACATGGAAAATGACTGTCCATTTCATGGACTCATGACCAAGGTTAAGTTACAATAACAAAGGACGCCAGAGCTTTTTATTTACTGCTGCTTTCTGTGATTTGTGGGCAGATTGTTGTTTTCTGCTTTTAATCTTTCAAGTAAGGAATGGTTTGTCATGTCCATGAAAACCACATGTATTCAGGGACCTCTTAATCTTACAGTTAAGGGTAAATCTTGTTTTTAGAACCATATAAATATAGATTGAGATCAAGATCAGTCAAACACCTCTGGAAAATGTAATATTGTGCTCTCTTGTCAATATATCGGTGTATATTGACACCGATAATGGGCACTGCCACTTAGAAATATGCTTTTCACATAAAACTTACCCTGGCATAGGTGCCAATTAAGAGTACAGCTCAGTCTCTGCTGTGCCGATAGCGTACGGGTGAAATTGAATTGTGAATGTACATTGACACGGTTGTGACTTTGCATTAAGACTGGCAAGAAACATTAGCAAATAAAAGATTTGTTTGATATAGGGAAAAATATTCAAAGGTCAAAGTTTGCTGAAGAAAGTTCTCTGCTTCCGCCTGCTACTAGGATACTACAAATCAGTAAGAAGGCTGTCTCCTCTCAAGTCATTGATTTTTCATGTTACAGATTCCACCCCTGACACCGTTTCACGTGTGCCCCTGTTCAGGAGAGAAAAAGCATGGGGGCTGTTTGAAACCTCAGGGACCGTTGTTGACCTTGTCCCCGCTTGTGTTTTGCAGCCTACTTCTGCTTCCTCCTGACCGCCCTGGGTGTGACAGCTGGTGCCCATCGCTTGTGGAGCCACAGGTCCTACAAGGCCAAGCTGCCTCTGAGGATATTTCTGGCTGTCGCCAACTCCATGGCTTTCCAGGTGGGGATGGAGGGTCCTCTCTGTGTTGGGGACCCAGTGCAGATGACAGCATGGGAGGAGGGGAAAGATGGGCTGACACCTCTCCACCCCCATCCTAGGCTCAGTGTTCAGGCCCCAAGCACGCCCAGTCTGTCCCGTTTTTATCTCTTGGTAGTTTTTAGATACAGTAAAATGTTTGTGCCCTAAGGTATGCTGAACTACAGAGGGGAAAGGAGACTCCTCTATCCAGAGCCCATGCTGTGAACATACCCTGAAAGCCTCAACACATGTCTAGCCCTAACCAGGGGCCCAGTTCTGTGATGAGCACACTGATGTGCATATAGTATTTGATCCACGTAGTAGCCCTGTGAGCTAGATGTTACATGTGTGTCCATTTTACAGATGAGGAGAATGAGATTCAATGAAGTTAAAGAACCTGCCCAAATTATACGCCTACAAAATAGTACATTCGGGGGTAGGCAACTGCAGGCCAGCCTGACTCCAAGTCACTGCTCTTACAAAACCTAATACTGAGGTTGCCCTGCAAGGTCATGGTGGAAAGACTATTCCATCTGAAGTTTGAAGACTCAGGGATTTTACTCTGATGGCTGCTGGCTGTGAATCACTTCCTCAACTTTACAGTTGAGAAAAACCTTTACAGTTTCTTTTCTGTAAAAATAAGAATAAAACTTCATCCTCAGGGTTGTTGTAAAATCAATGAAAATGGCAAGGAGCTATAAAAATGTAAGAGGCGGCCATCACTGCCCTAGGATTAGGCCATATTCTTTAGCGCTATTGGAGTCCCAAACCATTCCCCACCTCCTTGGGTACTTTCCTTGGGTACTTTTGGTTTGGTCATGGATCTCTTGTTTTCCCAATTCCTAATCTGGGTGAGAACAACTTGTTTTCAAACTTTCTGCCCACATATGAGTGCAGATGATTCCAGGCCCCATGCATTTACCCACTGGGAAGGAATAGTGACTGCCAAAAGTGCTCTAAAGTCCAGGGAAACAGGTGACCCAGGAGCTTCCCTGTGGCCCTCAGACACACAGCTCATGTGGCCACCTCTGCCATGGGCCCCCCATTCCTATAAGATAACCTGATGCCGCGTATTTCTCTAAGTGCTCTTGTAGTTCAGAATTCATTTCCTTGTTTTAGGCTTCTCTCATACAGTGTGACTTTTCATAAAGCACATAGGATATAACACAATGGATCAGTTAGGGGACGCAACTGGTGGTGTGTATATATACTGCTTGTAATTCAAGCACAGTCAGGAATTAGTACGAGGGTCCCAGGAAATAAGCTATTATGTACTAGGAAGTAGTTGGCAGCTTCCTGGTTTCATGGTCTTTTGTTCACCACTGGCAGTGTGAACTATGTGTACTTTATTTTGACTTCAACCATCTTATTCCAGTGTTGTGCTTTCAAAATAATAATTGACTTAGGTCCTAGATGACATTTAGGACCTAACTGGATAATTTTCATATATTGTGTGCAAGCAGTCCATTCTTTATAGCCTCCAAAGACACACTCATGTCGTTATAAAATGTGTCTGTTGGAACTTTTTCCAAGATAAATAGCTTGTAACTGAAGCCTAAAACTCTGATTTTTCTTTTCCTCATGAAATTATTTGTTTATAACTCAAAATCTGAAAACCTATGTTTTCTTAACAAAACACCACATAACAGAATTTAGACTGTGCTATTAAATTTATTTTAGGGAGAAAGTACACTATAGATGGAAATACCCAGGTCCTGGAATAAATGCTTGGCCCTGACATTTGCTAGATACGGGCCTTTCTGCAAGTTTCAGTTCCTTTATCTGCAAGGGGGCGATAATAATCTTTGCCTCACAGAGTTGTTGGGAGGATTAAATAATGAATAAAAAGTGTCAAGCTTATAGAAGCACTTGGTGAATATTGTTCTCCCCTTCTCTTTTATGAGAATTGATATATTGTTTACTTGGTTTCTGTATGTTAATATCTATCATATAAAAAACAATTAGTGATTGTTAGGAAAATAAAAAATAAATGAACAGCTTTAAAATGTAGTTTTAGAAACCGTCAAATTTGAACTATGCATACTTTTTCAAGGCCCATATTTGTAATGGATTTTTAAAAATTCATTCAACAAATATTTATTGAGCACCTACTATGTGGCAGGCACTGAGAAGGCACGGTGAGAATAACAATGAGCCAGGAGTCACAACCCTCGCCTTCATGGAGCTTTTCTGTCTAGTAGGTTATTAGAATCCCCAGCTTCCCAGTGGAAGTTTCAGTGCTTCATGGGCTTGGGGTTGTATAACAATGTCACTTTAGACCTAGATGAAAGGCATTTGTAACATCAGCATAGGGCCAGTTTCCATACATGCAGAACTGTGTCAGTGGGAGAGAACTAGAACAGAACTAGAACTAGTCACTGTCTAGAACAGTTGCTCGAAACCACTTAACCCTGTGAGAAGAACAACCTGGGGAAGTGTTAAAATGCTATGCTCTGCCAGTGTAGGATGGTGACTTATAACCCTGACTTAATGCAGTCATTGATTTGGTTTCCCTTTGATAATCCAGGGGGTTTTAAAGATAGCTTTAAAGATTCTCTCTCTTCCCTCCTTCACCCGAATGGTCATGCCATTGACCAAAATGGACAAGTCATGCCATAGTTGTCTCAGTTTGGGATCAGCAGGGCTTTTGCTAGATGCTATAAATAAGACCTTGATCATTAAGAACAGTGTTCTTAAAGTTGAAACTTAAACATTTTAAATCGTTTTCTTTTTCTTCTATAGAAGATGTGTGTATGGGGCTGAGGGGTGATAGTGGGAAAAGTGGAGATACTTTTAGTCTAAAAAGATGGTGATGGGCTGGGTGTGGTCTCTCATACCTATAATCCCAACACTTAGTGAGGCTGAGGCAGGTAGATCACCTGTGGTCAGGAGTTCAAGAGCAGCCTGGCCAAAATGATAAAACCACGTCTCTTCTAAAAATACAAAAATTAGCCGGGCATGGTGGTGCATGCCTGTAGTCCTATCTATTTGGGAGGCTGAGCCAGGAGAATCATTTGAACCCAGGAAGTGGAGGTTGCAGTAAGACAAGATCTTGCCACTGCACTCCAGCCTGGGCCACAGAGTGAAACTCCATCTCAAGAAGGCAAAAAAAAGAAAGATGATGATGGGGCAGGAATGTCTGACAAGGAGCTGTAAAGTCCTCTGTCCCCCTGAACCCTTGCATTCAGCAGAGACCCCCTGAGTTCCTCTCTGGTCCATCCTCCTTCCTTACCAGTAGGATGAAGTCAGCCTAAAGACTGCTTGCAACTTCCTTATAATTTGCTCCAAGTCAAATATGGACCCAGATAAGAGATTCCTGTTCTCCAAGAGTTAAGTTTTCAGAAGCAAGGGCCAAGATTCGGATTTGTGCTGTCACACTCATGCATCTACTCCTGCTGGCTGCCTCTGGGTCTCTCACAGACCCAGACCAACCAAAAGCACCTGCTAGATGCTTCAGCCTACTCTGCATAATTCCTCATCAGATCATGGTAATGAGGCATTGGATTGAGAGCTGGAAGAGAACTAAAGGGATTCAGCCTAAATTCTCATATTTTATAGAGGAGTAAACAGAGAATACCAGTGACTTCTCAAAGTTCACACAGCTAGTGACTGGATGGACAGACTGAAACCCCTGTCTCCTGAATCAGGCCACCCATTGCATATTCTTATGTGATGTACTACAGTGTGATTTCTAAATAACATAGAGTCGAGTCTTGTTTTTTTGTTTTGTTTTGTTTTTTAAATCCTCTCTGATAGTCTCTGTCTTTTAACTGATATAGTTGGACTAGTATCTACCAAGTTACCAATTATTGATATAGTTGGATCAATATCTACCAAGTTTCTGTTTTCCATTTGCTGCTCTTTTTCTTACTTTTTATTTGTGTATTCTACTCTTTTTCTATTTTTATGTGGTCTTAATGGACCATTTTGTATAAGCCTATTTCTCTCTCCTTTTAGCATACCAATTATACTTCTTTTTAAAGAATTTTTATGGATTTCCCTAGAATTTAGAATATACATTTACAACTAATCTAAACCCACTTTCAAATCACACTATACCGCTTCATAATGGTAATCTGCAGTAGTGCAAGTACCTTATAACAGAGTATTCCCAATTTCCCCCTCCTATCTCTTATGACATTGTTGTCATTCATTTTACTTATCCATAAGCTATAATCACTAAACAAATTGTTACTATTATTATTTTGAACAAACTGTTATGTGTTAGATTAAGAATAAGAAAATTAAAATTTCTATTTTACCTTCACTTATCCATATGTATATCTGGGTTTCTGATATAATTTTTCTTCTCTCTGAAGAGCTCCTTTTACAGCATATCAAAAAGCTTATCCATCACAATCAAGTCACCTTCATCCCAGGGATATGCAAGGCTGGTTCAACATCCACAAATCTATAAATGTAATCCACCATATAAACAGAACCAATGACAAAAACCACATGATTATCTCAATAGATGCAGAGAAGGCCTTCGACAAAATTCAGCAGCTCTTTGCTAAAAACTCTTGATAAACTAGGTATTGATGGATCATATCTCAAAATAACAAAAGCTATTTATGACAAACCCACAGGCAGTATCATACTGAATGGGCAAAAGCTGGAAGCATTCCCTTTGAAAACTGGCACTAGACAAGGACGCCCTCTCTCACCACTCCTATTCAACATAGTCTTAATTGGAAGTTCTGGCCAGGGCCATCAGGCAAGAGAAGAAATAAAGTGTGTTCAAATAGGAAGAGAGGACGTCAAATTGTCCCTGTTTGCAGATGACATGATTGTATGTTTAGGAGACCCCATTGTCTCAGCCTAAAATCTCCTTAAGCTGATAAGCAAATACAGCAAAGTCTCAGGATACAAAATCAATGTGCAAAAAATTGCAAGCATTCCTATACACCAATAGACAAAGAGAGAGCCAAATCATGAGTGAACTCCCATTCATAATTACTACAAAGAGAATAAAATACCTA